TTTTTTTTTTTTTTTTCATTAAAGATATCTTGGGCATCATTTCATATCAGTGTTGATATGTGGTTCTACCGATTTTGACAGTTGTCATTTTTCATTGTATGAGTGTACTGTACTGTAAACATTCTTCCTATAAAAAGTTTATATTTTGCCATTTTTTTTCACTCTATCAAGTGCTAAAATAAAGTAAACCTCCCAAAGATTAATATACCCTTGTGTACAAATAAACCCATGGGATAAATTCCTGGAGGTGGTTGGCTTCAGCAAAGGGTATGTGCATATCTAAACTTCTGATAGATGATACCAAATCACCTTTTGAAAACTTTGTTTCAGTTTATAATCTCTCTCCAACTAGTCATGTGTGTCAGTTTTTTAATATTATCAATATTACCAAATTTTAAATTATTGTAAGTCTGATAGGTAAACATATTTCAGTGATTTTAGTATTTTATTTTTAAATTTCTGAAGTATTTTTGGGGCGCCTGGGTGGCTCAGTCGGTTAAGCGTCTGACTTTTGCTCAGGTCATGATATCACTGCTTGTGAGTTTGAGCCACAAGTTGGGCTCTATGCTAACAGCTCAGAGCCTGGATCCTGCTTTGCATTCTGTGTTTCCCTCTGTGCCCCTCCCCTGCTCACACTCTGTGTGTGTGTCTCTCTCTTAAAAATAAACAAACATTAAAAAAATTAAAATTCTGAAATATTTAAAATATACAGTTCATAACTTATGCCCATTTTTAAATTGGATTATTTGGGGTTTTTTTGAATTTTGAGGTTTAGAAGTTCTTTACATATTTTGGATACTAACCCTTTATCAGATCCCTCCCCTGTCATTTGCATGTCATTTGCAAATACTTTCTCCCATTCAATAGGTTACTTTTTAGTTCTGTTGATTGTTTCCTTTGCTGCTCAGAAGCTTTTTATTTTGATCTAGTCTCAATAGTTTATTTTTCTTTTATTTGCCTTGCCTGAGGAGATATATGTAGAAAAATGTTGCTATGGCTGATGTCAGAGATCCTACTTCCTGTTCTTTATTCTAGGATTTTTACGGTTTCAGGTCTCACATTTAGGCCTGTAATCCATTTTGAGTTTTTTTTTTTGGGGGGGGGATGTGAGGAGAGTGCATGCAAATGGGACAGGCATGGGGGAGAGTGAGAGAATCCCAAGCAGGCTCCATGCCCATCTTGTAGCATGATGTAGGGCTTGAATTCATGACCTGGGAGATCATGACCTTAGCT